AGTGGCTCCACCTTGACTGGCGGGTCACGACCAAACTTCAAACGGAAAACATCCTGATACTCCAACAGGAGGCTCCTGAGGATTTCCACGGCCATTTCGTCCATGCCCTGAGCAACCGCATCGTCGACCTTGGCCATCAGAACGATTCGCACTTGGTCGGCGTCGTCCGTGTCCGAGGTTGATCCCAACTCAGGTGTCGCACAACACATGCCTTCATCCTCGTCCAGGCCATCCGATAGGTCACCCAAACGGAGCGCCCGATGCATCGCCACTCCAGGGGTAGTACCCGGCTGGTCCGAGAGATCCCATACAGCCTGCTGGTTGTAAGCGTTCTCCAGCAAGGTCTGCTCATTGTACCCGAGGCGTTGCATGACAGGTAAGCCCAGTGTTAGCTCGACCCCTGTAGCAGCATCGTCGAGCCAGACACGGAGACCACGCAGGATAAGTGGCCCACATGCGGTTTTGAACTCGATGCTACCCAAGCGCACCTGTTTCGTCACCACAATCGGCTTGCTCTCGGCACCATAGGGAAAGAGCTCAAAACGTCCCATGGTCGTGATCTCGGGAGAGTTCCCAGCAGCCAACAGGGCTGAAACCAGGCCACCGGATACCACGGACATGTCGGCTCCCGAGTCCAACAGAGAGGCCTCGACAGGCAGGACCCCGTTCACCGTAGCCATGAGTACACTTCGCCCAGGCTTGGCAGCGGCCTTGCGAATGGTCTTGACACGACCCCCCGGGGCACCTGGCTCACGGCTCTTCGCCAGCAGCTTCGCATGCTCCTTTAGGAGTCGGACAGCTTCTTCGTCCGATATTCCAGGGCAGTTTCGGACCTTGTGGTCGGACGATTTGAACTTCAAAAAACCTTGAGGCATGGGCTTTCGTGCTGGTGCTGGGCCAGGGGGGGGTAGAAGTCGGTTTTACGTCGGCAGTGTTGGCGTCGGTTTCCCGGTGTTTGTGTGGGGTTATACCCCGTATTGCCTTTCGTGTTGTCAGGCTTCAGTCCAGGCTTTGCCTCTTCCTCATACCCGACATATCGTTCATGGCCAATGGCATACTCGCGCAACCAGCGCACGAATCGATACACGTCCTTCTTCAAAGGCTTGTTTCGGGACAAGCTCATTTGCTCAGTCACCGCTCGGTGTAGAGACGCCGGTTTGATCGCATCCGTGATAATCTTCACGATCGCTTGGCTCTCCTCCCGAATCACCCATTCTTGGCGGTCGCGTCGGACAGCAGCAGCCAGGCCGTCAAGCATCCGACCGATCCTGGAGTCGGCGTCCTGGACAGACATGTCAAACGTGACAGCCGCCTTGATCCGCTTTTTGAGGGTATCCAGAGCCCGAGGGTCAACGTCATAACCCTGGCGGAACCAAGCCACCCACTCACTCTCCAGGACGTCGTCAGGATCCTTTCCCAGGTCCCATTCAGCCACACGCTGCTTGGTTCCAGGGTCGATACATGCACTCACGGGCATGATAAATGGACGAACACCATTTGCCGTCAGGGCATTGGTCTGGCTGATGTACTGATTGTACGCTGCCATAAATACTCGGCGTTCTTCCTTGGTAGAACCTTTGAATGTTGGATTTTTGGGGAGGAATGGAGCGTTGCACAGAAGAACGTCACCCTGGCCCATATCATCGTCCTCGGGTTCGTCGGAAGGTGCCCCTGCAGCAGCACTGGGCGGCACTTCCGATACTGGAGGCGCGTTCCACGACGGCCGTCCAGGCGTCCATGATTCGTCGACAGCTGCTGCTGACGTCGTCCTTGCGGTGACCGGAATAGACGACGGACATTTGTCGAACTGCGCGGTCGGCCGCGGTCTTCACAGTGGTCAGCGCAAACAGCACTGGTCCGAGGGCTGGCAGAACGATCCGACCTCGAGCGCGCTCCACCAGATTCATTGTAGTCGCTCCCAGGGAGCTCCACGTCAACAGCATGGCGTTCCCCACTCACAGGAAACTCCATGTCCAAATCGCTAGCGTGTCCAAAGACAGCTAAAGAATTCTTTGTTTGGCTGGTGAGATCCTATCCTGATAGATGGCAGCGGCATCGGTAGTGAACCCAGTTGAGAGGGTTGCATTCTGTCCCTTGTAGTAGTCCTTAATGGCTGATCGGAATTCCGACAGCGTCGACAAGGTGACACCTGCAACCTTGTACTTGTCCAATATGAACTCTGTGAAGTCTACGTAACTGAAGACATCGAGATCGATTGATGTTCATCGTGCTGGAACGACCAGATTCTCGGAGCCAGGCGACAACCTGCCGCAAACCGCTAGGGTAGCCCTTCTTGGGAGCCTTGGGATAAACGATCATCTCTCAGATCCTGCACCGTTGTCGATTGCTGTCGGGTCGTGACGGCGTTGCGCGATGCATCTGCCATGCTTGGTGTCAGGCGATTATTGCCAATCATTCGCAACAGGACACTTAGTCCCTCGTTTTCATGTAAATAGTCAACGTGAAGTGTTTGATTCACTGTCAGTCCTGCATTGAAATAACTTTCCAACGAACGAAAAGATCAGACTCCTCATCGGACGATCACTTGATACAGTGCTGGCCAAAAGTGGAAGGGACACTTGCGATTTTACAACCGTTTTTCATCTTTTTGTCCAATTGCTGCGCAGTGAGGCTCAGATTGAGCCAATTGAAAAGCAGACCAAGTCCATACTTTTAAATATCACAGACGATGTATAGAAGCCGAGATAATCGAAAAAAATTGAAATGCCTGAACTCAAACGTGGTCAAAAGTGAAAGGTACACTTCACAAATCCCCACGTAGCACAAAGACTAAGGGGTTTAATCGCCCGGCAATCAACATGTAAGTTTGAAATACTCATACGAATGCATAACAATGCGTTTTTAGATGCCAAAAGGTGCGCTCCTCACTCCAGAGGAACGAGGATCGATACTGGCTTTTCGTGCCGCAAAATGGTCGATTCGACGAATCGCTCGCGAGCTTTTTGTGTAAAAAAAACTCTGTATGTGCCTTCCTCAAGTCTCCCGGCACGTATGGAACAAAAAGACGCTCTGGAAGGCCTCCAAAGCTTAAAGAAAGAGATGATCGCCGAGTTCTGCATCAAGCCAGCCAAGGAAAATCGAGTTCAAGTAGGATTCAATTTGATCTAAACCTTAAATATTCTGCTGGTTCTGTTCGTCGAATCCTCAAGAAGTCCAAACGATTCAAGTACAAGAAGCGCAAGCCTTCGCCTCGACTCACCAAGGCCAACAAAGTTGCACGAGTGTTATGGGCTGAATGTCATGTCGACCTTGGCCTCGGATGGAACAATATTGTGTTTTCTGACGAAAAGAAATTCAATTTAGATGGTCCGGACGGCTTACAATACTATTGGCATGACCTCCGAAAGGAGGATTTGGGCGGGATTTTCAAGCCGAGGCGTCACGCAAATCGCAGTGTTGTCAGGACGTCAAGACTCCTACGCATACTGTGAGACCATTGCCAACTACCTGCTCCCTTTCGTGCATGTTCACCATCAAGATGGATACGTTTTTCAGCAAGATAATGCTCGAATTCACACGAGTTCTGAGACGAAGGCATTTTTCGCTGAGCATGACATACCTGTTTTGAGCTGGCCGTCTCTGTCCCCGGAATTAAATCCCATCGAAAACGTCTGGGGACACCTCACAATGAAGGTGTATGCGAATGGACGGCAGTTCAACACTATTCAAGAGCTGAAGACTGAGATTTTGAAGCAATGGGAGACAATTGATCTTCAGTACCTTGCGAAGCTCATTGGATCCATCAGGACGTGTTGCCTTGGCGTGATAAAGTCGAAGGGAGCCTGTACGAAGTACTAGAGCCAAAACCAATTGATAATACATCGAATATGTTTCATTTTGTGTCAAAGTTTGCCACTGTGCCTTTCACTTTTGTCCAGGTCAAAATTTGGAAATTTACGCACGAAGCACTAGTATATAACTTGGGTTATATTGAAAATTAGTGAGAAAAAAAACTACCTAAACTATCGTCCTTGTCAATCCGATCCAATGCT